CAGCAGTTTGGCTGGCCTCGCAGTTGGTCTTTGGAAAAGTCTGTCGCTCAAGAAAGTCTTAGGACAACTCCCGCTTCACCTGACCCTGACCTGCTCCTTTGGGGTGACTCACGCCAGGGGGATAGTTCTTTACGAACCGGCCTGAAAACGGGACGGGAGCTAACGGCCCATCGTGACCCTGGCGTGGGGAAGAGAATCGGAAGTGAACAGTCAAGGACATTGCTGTGTTTTTGACATTTTCCTCGTGACCCTGTTAGAGAGAGCAGGTTCAGAAACACCTTACATAGCTGCTGCCAGTCATCACCGCACCTCTTGCCAACGGACAACCGACACGAGTTTAAAGTGAAAGAATAAAAGGGGCTCATTTGATAAAACATGCAAAGTAATGTAGAAAAATTAAAATGAACAAATTTCCCTGCGGCCAAACGGGAAAGAGACCGTTCCCCTCCCGATGTGGAGAAACTTCTTATTTGTGAATGCTCCCTCTATTCCTGTAATATGCATGCAAAGCTTTTAAAGACCCATCATGTTTTTCTTGAGGACCGGGGAGCCATTTCTTTAAAATGTAAATATCAAGGAAATTAACTCCCCTATTTCCATATCTCCTAGAGTTTTACTTTAGGTGCCTTCTAGCAACCACCTACTTTGTCATAGAGATTTGCATTCTTTAGAACAGATACAATTAGCTAGAATAGATGGCTACTTGGGTTACCAGGTGATTTAAAATGAACTATTAGAGAGTGTATAGCAAGCTGTATGAGGACAAGTCACCATTTATCTTGAGAACAAGCGTGTAAGCAGTGGTTCTCAACCTTTTGGCCCTTTAAATACAGTTCCTCATGTTGTGACCCCCAACCATAAAATTATTTTCATTGCTACTTCATAACTTTAATTTTGCTACTGTTATGAATCGTCATGTAAATATCTGATATGCAGGATGGTCTTAGGCGACCCCTGTGAAAGGGTCATTCGACCCCCAAAGGGGTCGCGACCCACAGGTTGAGAACCGCTGGCACTGTAATGGATTGTATCTGCTTGGCTGTATAAAAAGTGGGATTTCTTTCTGTCTCTGTAATCTCGTTAGCAGATTGATTGTGATGTGCCTCACAGTGTGGTTAAATGCATATTCAATAATGAAATTGTTATCTGCTACAGAGAGGTTTTCTGGGTTAGCAGGATATTTTATTTTTAATTTTCCCTCAATAATCAGAACTTGCCAATTCTTCTCCTTTGGTAGAATAAGACCACAAAGTTGGGATAGATTTACAAACAATCAAGGTTCTAAATCAAAACTGCCTTATTTACACTGTCACCAGATCCATGCTCTCAAATAATTTTGTGGGTGGTAATTTAGGAGAAATTCTCCCAATAGAGTTTAATTAAGCTGATGCCATCTTATTTTACTATTGGTGAGTCCATTGTAAAATGGCAGAAATGAGAATAATGAGCCTTTTGTGAATAATGAGCTCTTGCCACATCACGGTGACAGTCTGCCAAACATCACATTATTATGTACTTGGTCATGTGGGCCAATGTTAACTATGTCAGTTAACATTACCCCACAGCCAGCTGCAGTTAACTTTACCAAACACACACACACACACTCACACACACACACACACACACACACACACGTGCGCACGCGCGCATTATATTTATATGGGAAGACAGATCATTAATTATTTGCTGTAAACAGCAGCTCATTAAAACAAGGGATTTTATGCTAATGGGATAGGGAGGGAATCCTCTTTTCTACCAATAGTTGCATAATTAAAACAAAAAATACTGCTACTATAAGAATTTTTGTCACATACAATTTACCTGCTACCTTGGAAAGGCTGGAGTTGCTACCTCAGACTTCTTGGCCTCTCCTGTCAAAATCCTACCCTGATCAAAAGCAAACCACCTCAGGAGCCTTCACTAATACTCCTCTCATAGATTGTTCTTTGTCTACAACTGTTGGCCCTTAGGCCTTGTTCCCTGCTGTGGAATTGGGCCTATATCATTTTACTCTGCTGCCCCCCCTCACTCCTTGGGTATATATAAACATCTCTCACTCATGAAATTGGACTATTTTTCCTCCATATTTGAGAAAGATTAAAAACACACACAGAAAACCCAAATGCTCCTCCATTCTGTGTGGTTTTATGAAAGTAGTGATAGAGTGTTATATAGAACTAGAGGCCCAGTGCACAAAATTCATGCACAGGTGGTGTCCCTAGGCCTATAATTTTGCTACTGTTATGAATCGTCATGTAAATATCTGATATGCAGGATGATCTTAGGCGACCCCTGTGAAGTCAGGGCCAGGCCAGGCGGAGCCTGCCAGCTGCCAGCCAGGGCCCGGGGGCCTACTGGCTGCCAGGCGGGGCGGGCCTGCTAGTTACCGGCTGGCCAGGGACCATGGGAGGTTTGCCGGCTGGGGGGAGGGACCAGGGGAGGTTGACTGGCTGTGGGAGGTTGGCTGTGGGAGTGCACTGACCACCATGGGGCAGCTCTTGCATTGAGCAGCTCCTCTGTTGTTCAGTCTTAACAGTCGCTTAGGCTTTTATATATATGGATTATTTTATTATAAAATGAAAATCTATTAAAACTAAAATACCTACACAAAAATAATAAAAATGTTAATTTTTAGTTAAAATTTTGACACTTGGCTTCTCATACTTTGATGTTTCTTCTGTTCAGGGCCTGCATATCATATTTAAGCTGATCATATATTTTTTTAAACTACATTCATGTCACAGTTGCTTTTCTTGTCTGCCAAACTAAAATACCATATTTACACATTTTTCTAGTAGCTTTTCAGAAAAAAAAAACTTAAAAAAAACAATCTTGAAATAAATGGTTCCACTTAAGATTTTATGATCCTTATTTTGTATTTGCAAAGCAAATAATTAGTATTAAACCACCACAGAAATTACAATTGGACCATTAATTTCCTTTTTTTTGTTAAGTGTGTATACATTTTTAAAAAATTTTAAATTCTTTATTGTGGAAAGTATTGCATATGTCTCTAAAGAAAGAAAATATTTGTAGCTAGTATCAGCAGTCTCTGTAGGTCTTTTCTGTTCTATTGGCCTAATAACTAACTGAGAAAACTCCACTTGTACTGTTTAACACTGATGGAATAAACATCTGTTTAAACAGTTATCACCATTCTTCTTCCAATACTACCAAGAATTTATATCTCTTAATTTGGATTTTTTTTACATTATCCAATTCTGACTATTGCCATCAATATTTTTAGGTTATTTTACTTCAGAGCTCCTTTAGTGTATTTTGGGAAATTATGGATCGTCACGTTCCCATGCATGCGTTACCTGAAGAAATCCAAAAGGTATGATATTATATTGTGTTATTACAAAATAACACTGGAAACCTGTTAGCAGGTAGATAATTCTAAAATTTGGGGAAGTGCTTCAGAGGTTCTGTATTTATTTTGGTCAGGGCATCTGTAATGAATTGATGGAGTGGGGAAGGGAATAATCCTAATGGTCAGAATTGTGGAATTCAATTCAGTGCAGAGTATTTGACCTGTGAACAAAGGCAGATATACAATTTCAGGACAGTATTTGACCAGGTGTTTGCGGAGCCTGATAGTAATATTTAGCTATTTTCTAGCAGCTTTGCAGAAAGACTTTTTTTTTTTAAAAAAACAAACTGAAATCAATGAGTCTGTTTAAAATTTTAAATGATCATTAGTCTGTATTTGCAAAACAAATGATTAGAAGTAAACCACCACAGAAATTATAGTTAGCTTGTAGTTTTTTATGATGCTAAGTTTTGAAGTCTCTCTATATAAGTGTCTATTTCAATTTCACCTTAATCTTGCACGAGGTACTGTTTTAAGCCTTTTCATATATGTATCAGTTCATTTAATCTAGTTAACAATTCTTCAGATTTTCTTGTTCTTCTCCCTGTTAGTTCATATCTGTCCTCAGGCAAACTCATTACTCCTATATTTAGCTTGGCATTGCATATAATATTAACAGTATAATTTTAAAAATATCTTTTTGAAACTGATTGACAAATTGTGAATTAAATCTCAGACCTTAGCTATCATTAATCATTCAGGTTTTTCAGTAAATCTACAGTCAACTCTTAACAGTCTGTTATTTTTTAATTGAAAAATTGCAGTCAGCTCTCAGATATGCTTTTATTCTTCGTTCATGTTGCTTTGGGCTTCCTGTTACCATTGATTTAACTTGGTGCTTACTGTTACTGTATGTTCTTCAGATTTATATAAAGTGCAGCCTTGCAGGAACTGGAAGGGAAGTCCAATTACCAGAAAAGACCTTTTCAACCTCTGCATTTAATTTGCCTTACCTTTTAAGTTAGATGTAAGAGATAGAAAGCACAAAGAGAGCTCAGCTATGCTATGCGTACCTGAGAAATGCTGTTTTTATGTGTTTGTAGACATGTAATGTCCCTCCTCTCTCCCTCAACTGAATTCCTTCCATATACTGCCCTGTGTGGTAGAGACGAAAAGAAGACAAAACCATCTGCAAGAAACAATTCCCATACTTCAGATTCCAGTCATCTGTCAGGAAGAGGATCTATAATGAGATAAAAAAAAAAAACAACTCTAATAGACAGTGTATAATTTAAATGTCATATAAGACAGACAGTAGCTTATAAGAAAGGAGGAGGTAGGGACAGGAATCCCCAAGTATTGGGATAGTCAAGGGAGGAACTTTATGCAGGAAGTAGAACTGGGATTGGTCCTTGAAGGCAGAGTATTGCTATAGACAGATAGGCAATAGAGCATGCTAGGCTAAGGGAACAGCTTACTGGTGAGAAAAAGCTGGCCAAGTTAGAGAATGGCCAATGTAAATATTTTGAATATATGAGAAAGTATGTATTTATTTTGGCAAGGTTTTTATGAGAGTTGTAGAATGGGTTTTTTTCCATGTTTAAGGTACTTTATAAGTAAATTGTTTAAAGATGCTAAAACCAAGCATTTCATAAATCTGCAGTTATATTCTCAAAGTAGGAATGGCAAGCAGCTGTCCATGCAGTGCAGAGAAGCAGTGAGTAGAGGAGAAGCGCAGCTGCCTAAGGCCCTGGACAAGTGTTCTCATGGTAC